ATATGCAGTGTATTATTTGTTGAAACTGTACTTCCGATTTGATTTGAAACTGTCTCATTGCTATATGTTTATCAATAAAACTGTAGAAAAAAAAAGAAAAAAGAAAAGAAAGAAAGAAAAAAAAAAGAAAAGAAAAGAAACAAGGTCGGAGGACCAGACTATGAATTTCAACACTTAAGAGAATATGGTTGCCTCAAAGATAAGAGATCAATGGTAAGGACAGAGAGTGCAGAAAGGGATGCACACACCTATATGTAACTTATTTTAGATAAAAGTGTGAGAAGAATTCAGTGGAGAAAGCATTGTGTTCTTTACATATGGTGCAGGAAAAATTAGGTCTCCATGTGTAAAAATGAGTAAATATACTGATCCATAGCCTGCATTTATGAACTAGAAAATGTATCAACTTTAGCTAAAATGTAGTTTTAGCTAAATGAGTAAATATACTGATCCACAGCCTGCATTTATAAACTAGAAAATGCATCAATTTTAGCTAAAATGTAGTTTTAGCTAAAACCTAAAACTACAAAATTTCTATAAGAAATATAAGACAAACCTTGACATAGGCAAAGATTTCTTAGAGATAAGAATAAAAGCTTTTTTTAGATACTAAAAGAAATTGGTAACTTAGACAACATCAAAATTTAAAACTGCAAGGGCCAGCCACATAGCTCGGTGGATTAAAGTGCCTGCAAGCAGGCGCATGGGCCTGGGGCCTGACATGCCAGCCCTGCCCACAGGGCACACTGAGACAGCAACTGAGATTGGGCATGGTGGCGCAAGTCTGTAATCCCAGCTCTAGGGAGGCTGTAAACAGGAGGATCACTATGAGTTCAATCTAGTAGTGAGACCCTGAACACCCTGTAGACCCTTCCCTAAAATACAAAAAAATGGGGGCTGGCTAAGTAGCTCAGCGAATTAAAGCACCTACAAGCAGGTGCACGGGGGCTGCTGTGGAGACGCTGATTAAGACTGGGCATGGTGGCGCACATCTATAATCCCAGCTCTTGGGAGGCTGAAAACAGGCGGATCACTATGAGTCCGATCTACATAATGAGACCCTATAGATTCTGTACTAAATTTAAAAAAAATAAAATAAATAAAACTGATTTTTAAGAAAATGCAAAATACTGGCCCATCTTGTTTATAATAAAAGATTTGTATTTAGAAGACAGAGAATCAGGATGTATTGTATGGTTCGCAAGGATGTAAATCAATTTATTAACCCTGATTACATGGAGGTGTGGGACACAAGGAGTGGGAAAGAAAAGACACTTTGCATAGTCCTATTCATGTGTATATCCTGGGCTCCGTTAAATGTTGAGTGTGACCCTGAGGACTCAGAGATGTTAGGTGGTGTGTATCTTTAGCCCTAAACTTGACATAATATCTTACATATATTTGAAAGTATGCATGTACAGTATTATAAAATGTGAGAAAAGAAACATCCAGTGTGGTTAGATTATTTTTAAGAATAAACCAAATTAGTGAAAAGCTTCTAGTCAAATATTTCTTAGACCATTTCTTCATATTCTCATGCTGAAGAAAAACACTTAAAATCTTAATGTTCTATTTTGGTATTCTTAAAATTGCCCCCTCATTATACCTACTGAAAGTTTTCCTAAGAAGGACTTAAATGTCCAAGAAACATATACTCATACAATATGAAAATGTTGTTCAACAGGTAGAATGCTCAAAACTACCAGTCTGTAAACTATAAATGAAAGAAGTTTTAAACTATCAATGAGAATTCTGATAATTCAAAATTAAGGATCAATTTAAATATTTATCATAGCACTGACAATGAGAGAAACTGAATCAAAAGGAAAGCTCCAAGATTATAGATCCAAAGTAAAGAAATAGTACAACACACAGCAGCTCCACAACACACAGAAACTGTGACAGCAGAGCCTAATTCTCTGTGGAAAAGTGGACAAACCTATGTCGCAGTGGGAGAAACATTTCTTCCAAGTTTTATAAACCTCTTCTAGGAAAACCAGCATGTAAGAGATGTGTGTGACCTACTACACAGACTGGTTAGGTGAAGGTTAAACTTCTTTTTTGTGAGACAGGATCTTGCTTTGTAGCCCACGCTGGCCTTGAACTCACTATAGAGCCAAGGCTGGTTTTGAACTTGTAATAATTCTCCTGCTTCAGCCTCCTAAGTGCTGGGATTACAGGTGTGCACCACCATGCTCAGTTAAATTCTTTTCTTGAACAACATGATGATCTAAATCATTGCTTAAGTGAAATCAGTACTTTCAGCAAATTTTGACAAGGAAAAATTAACTAACAGCCTCTGTGGCAGGAGTACAATTGTCTAGCCAGCCCAACCCTCAGTCCTCGCTGTAAGCTTACCTGACCGGAAGCGCTCGTCCCTGGAGTTGGTGGGCCGGGACTTTTGTGGTTTGGGTGCAGCAGTGGTCAGGGAGGGTCCAGAGAGTCGATTCTCTGCTTGCAGGTATGGGTCTACTCCTGAAACAAATTTTTTAAGGAATATTTTCTGTAAACCATTTGCTTACAAGTTATGGAAAATTTACTTAAAACACACGTGATTTCCCTCATGTGGCAAAACAGTGTATACTGCACCAACAGTGTGGTCCTCAAAGAAGAAAACAGCCTTGGCCTGGGGTCAGGGCAGTGTCCAGGTCCATATGACATCTCCATCTGTATAGCTGACTATCACAAAACCCTCTGAACACTCTTGGCAGTAACTGGTCAGATGTGGGAGCCCCTGGTTGCTGAGGCAGCAGGTGCTAAAGAGCACCCTCCAAGAGCCTGCTTCTACTATGTGGCTGTTTCCTGACTCTGGAATGACTTGTGTCAATTATTCCCAGCACTATCCCCAGCGTCAACAAACTCTGAGTGAGAACAGCTCACCAACCATCAATGGGGGGCTACTAGTGGCTCCCAAATAGAGACAGCTGTGAAAAGGTGGAGGAAAGAGTGGCGAAGAGCAATGCTTCGAGGGTGATAACAGTTTCCAGACGCAGAGACCTGCACTTGGCCAGCAGCACCAGCCTTGGCTGTGTCACCTGCTTGGTCTGCAGTGACCCACACCTGTACCCTGGCACTCAGGATTCTGAGGAATGAGGATTGCCATGAGTTTGAGACCAGCCTGGGCTACATAGTGAGACCTTGTCTCAAAATAAAAAATATGCATTCGGTACCAAATTCAACAAGTATCAAAGAAGCGGAGTGCCAGCATATCACTATATAAGTAAACAGACACCCTCATATGCCAAAACATACATGCTTTAATTCTTTGAGATAGACTTACTTAATCAACAGATACAAACAAAAGCCACTCTGCAATTACTAGACAAAAGAGAAGATGCTTAATTATAACAGATATCAAGAGATAACTTTCATAAAGGTTATAGCGATTCCCCCCCCCCACCGAAGCAATGTATGAAACTGGCACTTCCCTACATCTTTTATCAGCAAACAGGTATTATAAAAAGTTTAAAAATCTTCCCAATATGGTAAGAAAAAAAGTCTCATTTTGATTTGCTTTTCTGTACTTATATAGAAATTGAACATAATGTTTACTGCCATGCACGTTTCCTGTCCTTTCAATTTCTACTCACTTTTTTCAGCTAATAAGCTCTCCTAAAGGAGAGAAGTCTTCTGCTGAGGTGCACTAGACCATGCACCTCAAGGCTGTGGCCTGCCTGCCTGCCTGCCTGTCTTAATGGCTTTTCTCATTGCTAAGACAAAACACCTGACACCCAAAATTAAAAGAGAAAAGGTTTATTTTCTCTCACATTTTGTAGGTTTCAGTTCATAGCTGTCTAGCTCTAAGACAGGGTAGCACAGCAGAAAGGCACTGCAGAGAATAGAGCAATCAGCAAGCAACAAACAACCACAGCAACTTTTTCTGTTCCATATATCTTATCAGAGCAAGGCAGGCAACACTCACACCCTTAATCCTAGCATCCCACTATGAATTGATCCCACCCTCACATCCTTGATCCTAGCATCACACATCCAGCTCTGGGGGGACATCTAGACACAAGCCACAACATTGTCTTTGCTTTGTCAGCTTCCAGGTCTGCAAACTTTGTGAGGACAACACCTAAAGGTTATTTAGATATTCTGAATTTAGTAATTGTCATAATTAAAAGCATATTCAGAGCTTTGATTCTTCTGAAAATTACGCTCACAGATATTGAAGAAAGTTATTGCCTTAAAAAAGTCAGTATGAGGAGCCCACAAGATAGCTCAGCAGTCTAAAGTGCTTGCTTAGGCAAGCTTAGGCAGGTGCAGGGGACCACAGTTCGATCCCCAGCACCACATGCCACGCTAGCCCTGCTCTCAGGGAGGGCTAAGCCAGCCCCTATCCCCCATGCCAAAATAAAGGCAGCATGAGCAATGAACTAAATCCTCCCTCCCATCCTCCCCAAGCATTGCTGGCCCTCCTCCTCTGATGACATCTGCTCTGCGCACTGAAAGCCACCTGTGATTACATGGGAACCTACACTCTCAGGTTTAACATCTCAAAGCTCAGTCTTTTCACACAAGTATTATTTTTCAAAATTTTATTGGCCACTCTCAAAAATTTTCTCTTTCTAATGGATCTTTATTTCCAAGCCCAAGGCTTTATTTTTCCTATTATCTCTCTTTTATTTTGTACTTTATTTATATATTTGTGTTTGTATGGGGAAAATGGCTATAGTCTTTTGTCACCTGATGCAGAGTTTCCAAACAAAAATAATATTCTGCCAAATGCTCAGCTTGCAAACTAAACTGTTCAGAAACCAAAGCCTTCATGAATTGAGATATCACAGTATACTGGATTTCTCATGTTAGAGAAACTATGCAATATTTAAGCTTGCAAATCTGATTTATTTCACTTAACATTCCTATCAATGACTCAAATTTATCCTTTATAGCACTCCAGGGTGTGTAAATACTACATTTTCCTTATTAATGTATCTGCTGATAGACATTTATCTGCTGATAGTTAACTCTTGGGAGGTTGTTCTATTAGGAATTGTGCTGCTATAAACACGTGTGTGCATGGATCATTGGAACATGATGTTTTAAGCTCTTTTGGTAAGCTACCTAAAAGAGCAATAGCTGGGTCAAATGGAATTCTGGTTATAGTTTTTGAGGAGTCGCCATACTGATTTAATCTCCATTGTGGTTGCACTGGTTTACACTCCTCCCAACAATGCAAATGGGTCCTGTGCACCACCCCACGCCTCTCCAGCTTTGTTCTCTGATTTCTTTTTATTTATTTATTTGTTTATTTATTTACTTTGTGTGTGTGTGGCCAGCTCAGCCACACACACACAAAGTAAGGGGGCGGGGCTGGCTGGCATGTGGTGCTGGGGGATTGAACTACGGTCCCTGTGCTTTGCTTAGCTTAGCTTGTTTTAAGTAGGTGCTTTAGACCACTGAGCCATCTCACCAGCCCCTGTTCTCTGATTTCTTGATGACAGCCATTCTCTCTGGAGGAAGATGGAATCTCCAGATTATTTTAATTTACTTTTTTCAAATGATATTGACCACTTTTTTGTGTTTTTATTAACCACTTGTACTTCCTCAACTGACAAGTATCTATTCACTTCAGATGTTCATTATTTGAGTGGGTCTTTAAATCTGATGGGATCTAATTTTTTTTAGTTCTTTATATACTCTAGATATTAGTAGCTGGCAAGTTTTTTTTTCCCCATTTTGGAGGTTGTCTCCTCTTGTTTCAATTGTTTCTATTGCTATGCAGAAAGTTTTTAATTTGATATGATCCCATTTGTTGATTGTTGGCACTATTTTTTTGTACATTTGAGGTTCTATTTAGAAAGTCTTTGCTTATGCATGTATCTTTAAGGAGTTTTACTTAGTTCGTCTTCTAGTAATTTTTTTTTCTCTTTTAGTATTTAGATATTTGATCCATTTTTATTTTAGTTTAGTTCATGGTGAGAAATACAGTTCTAAGTTAAATCTTTAAGGTTTTTTGTTTGTTTGTTTATACCAGTGATTGAACTCAGGAACTTGGGCTTGCCAGGTAGAAGTTTTAAGTTAAATCTTCAGCATGTGCATAGCCAGTTTTCACAGCACTAGATGTTAAAGAAACTATTTTTCCTCCAGTGAAAGCCTTTTTGTCAAAGACCAACCAGCTGAGTGTACCTATGGTTGTTTCTATATCCTCTACTCTGTTCCACTGATACACAAATATGTTTTTTTGCCAAACCATGTTTTCGTTTTTTTATAACCACTACAGCTTTACAGTACAACTTGTAGTCCAGTGTGGCGATGTCCTCTGTCATACCCTTATTGCCCAGAGTTGATTTTGCTATTCTCGATCTCTTCTGATTTCAAACAAATTTTAGGAATGCTTTCTCTACTTCCATGAGAAATGCTATTAGTATTTTGTTTGGTATTGTATTAATCTGTAAAAGAGATTTTGAAATGTAGCCATTTTGACATACTGGTTCTGCCTACCAAGGAACAGAAGTATCTTTCCATTTTTTAATGTCTTCTTTGACTCCATCTTTTAGAATACCATATACCATACTATAGAGGTCTTTCACTTTCTTGGTTAGGTTAACTCCTAACTACTTCATTTTTCTTAGTGCTATTATGAAAGGTATTATTTCCCGAATTTCTCTCTTGTTGAATTTATTATTGATATACAGGAACACTAAGGATTTTTGAGTGCTGACTTTGTAAACCTGCTGCTTTACTGAATTTGGTTATTAATTCTAGGAGTCTTTGGTGGAGTTTTTTGAGATCATCTACATAGAGGAGCATGTCATCTGCAAAAAATAACTCGATTACTTTTTTCCTACTCATATCCCTTTTGTTTCTTGTCTAAATCACTCTGGCTAATATATCAAGAACAAGAGTAAATATAGTGCACATTCTTATCTGACTTTAGAGGGAAAGCTTTCAGCATCTCTCCATTTAATATGATGTTGACCACTACTTTGACATAGATAACTTTTATCTGCTTGAGATAAAGACCTTCTATACCTATTTTCTTCAGGACTTTTTTTTTTTTTTTTTTTTGGTGGAGCTGGGGATTGAACTCAGGCCCTTGCACTTGCCAGGCAAGCGCTTATTCAACTGAGCTATCTCCCAGCCCCCAGGACTTTTTTTTTTTAGTAATGAATCGATGTTAGATTATGTCAAATGCTTTTTCTGCATCTAATAAGATGATCATGTGATTTTTGACCTTTCTGGCTATTTGTGTGATGTGTTCCATTTATTGATTTGTATATGTTGAACCATGGTTGCATCCCTGGAATGAATACTACTTGATTATGAGTACAATATTTTTGATGATTTGCTACATTTTGTTTGCCAGTATCTTACTGAATATTTTTGTATCTATGTTCATTAAAAATATTGATTCTTTTTTGGTAGGGTCTTTTTTTTTCAGTTTGGGCATTGGAAATGACTTTCTTCCAGTACTTTGGAAGTACTGATTCTCTTTTAAATTTCATTAAAGAGTCTGAGGAATATTCGTGTTAGATCTTCTCTAAGAAATTCGGCAGTGAGGCCAGCCAAATAGCTCAGTGGATTAAAGTGCCTGCAAGCAGGCGCAGGGGTCGGGGGTTCAGTCCCCAGGACTGCTGTGCCAGCACTGCACCCCAGATTGCACTGAGACAGCAATTGAGAATGGGCGTGGTGGCAGGCATCAGTAATTCCAACTCTTGGGAGGCTGTAAACAGGCGGATCATTTTGAGACCGATTTAGTAGTGAGACCCTGAACACCCTATAGACCCTTCCCTAAAATATATATATATAAAAAAAAAAAAAGAAAAAGAAATTCAGCAGTGAATACATCAGGTCCTGGACTTTTCTTATCCAAGTGTAAGTTTAAGAAAAAAATCAGTTACTGTTATGCAGATTGGACTATATTATATTCACACACTGCTTTAGAAACTCCAACTTTATAGTACTGTTTTTCCACATAGGAAATTGATATGTTTCTCCATAAATCAGTCTTGATTTCTTCCAAATAGATTTTTGTGATCCTAATATAGGTTCTAGGGCCAGGGAGATGGCTCAGTGGAATAAGCGCTTCCCTGGCAAGCACATGGGCCTGAGTTCAATCCCCGGTTTAAAAAAAAAA